TCAAGATGAAACTTAATTTAAATAATATATGTATTGTAACCTTATTGTAACTATTATATCCGTAATCTTTACCTGTGTTACATATCCACCTTTCGCTTTGGTTCAGTTCTGTTAGTTAAGCTGATTCGACGTGATTGTACTAAATCACGTCGAAACCGCAAATAAAATCACAATTAAACACATAAACACACAGTCTTTCGCATTTATAACATTAGTAAGACATGCCTTTTAATATGTATGTGAGTTTCAATCAATTAATTAATTAACTGCGAGGTTAGGTATTAACTGATAATAACTACATATGTAATGTGCTGATACAATGCACCGTGGTGCAACGATATAGAAGAAACAAAAAAAGTTACGTACATTATTACATCAAATTACGATGACGTTAAGCTAGTGTCCCGCTAAGTAGCTAGTGTTTGGGTCTGGGGCGGGCAGGCGTCGAGGCGTGGTGCATATTGCCGCCGGCACACCGCCCCGCCTGCCGTCTCATCTGTTTGTCTTCCCACACGACACATCCTACATCCCTCGTCATCAACTACTGCTTACTTACTTAACTATCCGTATACAACGTTTGTTTTTAATCTAGATTGCTATTTATTTTGTTAAACAAACGACGTCTTCATTCATATTCTTTACACAATATTCGTTCTTTATTAGATATCATGCAAACTTAAGTTTTGTAAATCGTTTCACATAACCTAATTCCGCAAAATTTCAAGTATTAGTTTACCAGCTTTTCTGTCTTCGGTCCACAGTACCTCTGAATTGGTCAGGAAAATTCTTTCTTCGTCACTGACCAGTTTTGAGGTGCCGTGTTTGACTGATGCAGTGGAAGCGTGGAAAATGGCTTGCCCACTTACGGATTTACCTGTTCACCCATCTTCTCAGAGACAGTGGGACGTGCCGCTGTGCAGTGTTATTCGTGAGTCTTTAATCAACTCGTCTCCTAATACTGCAGAGCGAGCTCGCTTATTGGCTGTGGGAGAATGGGAATCAGGATTGTGGCTTCAGGCACTCCCGTCACCCTTCATAGTACTATGTTGGATGACATAACGTTCCGCCTAGCTGTATGCCTACGTTTAGGTGCTCCTTGTGTTTCTCCGCATTATTGTCACTGTGAAGAAAGAGTCGATGGCTTGGGACACCATGGTCTTTCTTGTTGCAGAAGTGCAGGCCGCATAGCTCGCCATGCCAGCATCAACGACATCATTCGTCGTGCTCTTGCCTCAGCCGGTGTACCAGCCGTATTAGAACCTAATGGTTTGGTACGTGATGACGGCAAAAGACCAGATGGTATGTCGTTGCTGCCTTGGAAGATGGGTAGGCCTTTGGTGTGGGACGCGACGTGTGTAGACACCCTTGCGCCATCACATCTTTTAAGCACCGCTGCATGCGTTGGTGCAGCTGCTTCCGCGGCAGAGGCCCTCAAACGGCGTAAATATTCAAATCTAGTGGGTAACTACTGTTTTGAGCCGTTTGGGGTCGAAACACTTGCAGTGCACACTCTGTGTTTAAAGACATCGCCCGTAGGCTTATCGACTCTACACGTGACCAGAGGGCTGGCTTTTTCTTCGGACAGAAAATAAGCATTGCCATTCAACGTGGCAATGCTGCCAGTCTTCTGGGAACTTTCCCCTGTGATAGTGATGCGGACGAATACTTTGACGCCTAAATTAAGGGTATAATTTTTGTTGTTTTCTTTTACTTTCTTTTTATTTAATAGTTTAGTTGTAGTTAATTTTAAGTTGTAAATATTTATGTAGTTATATTTAATTAGATGTAAATTAACAGAAATCCTATTACTCCATTAAAATTCATTTATATTTAAAAAAAAAAAAAAATTTCAGCCACTGTTTAATGAACAACTTTTATTTTTCATCACGGCGGTTCAGGTTGAAACATTAATTTAAATGAAATTTGAAAATAATTGAATTATTTGTATCAGACTGAAGTATTTGATAGTTAGAAGAGTTAGCAGAAATAAATAGGGTTAGAATAAAGCACTAATATTTTAAGACATAAAACAAAGCAATGTAGACATAGAACAGCTCCAGCTAGCTATTGTTAGGTGGGAGTTATATCCTCGTAGTTTAGCTCTTCAATACATTGTTTGTCTTCAGCAGAATGAACATTACCGCATTGAAATTATGCATGCATGATGCGAGCACGCTGCAGCAGTACCGCACAATAGAATTTGGGAATTCTCCACGCTCTCAATGGAATTAAAACAATGGGGAATATGAAACTTCCAATGTAAGCCATGCCCCTATTAGCTTCAGAGTTTCCACGTTGGTTAATAAAGTTAATCTATTTTAATCTATTAGAGCTGGCTAGGTACCTACTAGGTTTGTTAGTTACTTAGTTCTTAGAATTGATTACTTAGTTCTTCTACGTAGATTCAGTATTATTCGTATTGAAATCTGTTGTTATCTAATATGACACTTAAAATGTTATGGTACGTTTGTATAATAATAACGGATACTGTCTTAATCATCATTACTTAACTTACCCCATACTCTATTTATGACTTTGTTAGAGGTCCGTCTCTAACAATCTATTATATATATATGTATTATAGATCTTCCAACCCCAATCTACCACACCAAATAAAATCAACGTCCAATAATATTCAATCCAATTAGTTTGAATATCTCTGCAACGGATAAGTACTTAACACATTAAGATACGCAGGAAACAGGGGTGCTTTTATTGCAGAAAACGAAGTCATCGGTTTCAATAAAAACAGCAAACGAGTTAAACTAAACACAATCAAGTACACAAAAGAACATCGAGCTAATCTTATTGTGGGTGAGGAATGACAAAGGAATCGGGTGCGAACAGCGAGCGGGTGTAAGGAGTCGCCGGAGCCCCGGAGTCTGGCCGTGGCAGCGGCAGCGGCCATATTTGCCGCTCGAGTGGCGCCCAATGAGTTGAGGGGCGCGGGCGGACGCACTACGTGAAAACCCCGTCACTCTTTCATCGAAGTTAATGGGACCTTTGTCGGTCGCCGACCGACTCTTGTAATGCAATTAACTCCGACAATGGTGCTATCGTTAACGAATTAATTTTAAAGGTTCCTACTGAATAAACCCGGGATGCCCCTTTTTAAATGTAGATTTTGTATGGTATAATGTCTGAACCGTAATTTGAAATTGAGAAGTTGAATGGTTGGTTTTCTATCGTATCGTTACATTTTTTAATCAATGAAAAGAAAACTGTCAATTTTTGAATCAAAGGACTAGGTATTTCACTTCAGCAACTGATTGCTTTATTTCCTTACTTAAGTACATATCTTTGACCAGTCACTTCGTGTGTAGAATGGGTATACCTCTATATTTTACGTACATACTACATTATCTACTCTTAAAAAAATCTTTTTAACAGAATATTTTATATCTTATAATTTCATTGTTTTTTTATTATACGTTAAACTAGCTATGCAATTTACATCTAAGTATTATGGTACTTAATCTATGATGAAGTCTTTGAATGATATGACGAATGTTTTACTACGGTCGAACGGAGCTAGAAACAGGGTAATTTTCTCATCCGTATAAGGCTTCAATATGTTTACAATTTTACATTCACATACAATATGAATGCACGTCAGTTTTATGAAGACCGTGAGGGATTAAGTATAAATAAATTTGAAAGCATTTATGAGGTTGGAAAGAAGGGCAGTACAGTGTTTTGACGGCGAGGTGCTACAATGGCTCGGCGGCCGGACACTGCGCAGTGTCGGCGGAGCCGCGGCGACCACCCGCAGTCTGAGAACATCTCACACTTGTGCCTGCCCACTCGAGTGGAAGCACGGCCGCACAGCCCCTCTCTACCGGGAAATATCAATGATACCCCAACAACAATACTACCTATGAGGTTTTTTTTGCTTTTATGTAGTTCAGTAGCTCGGTCAATGTTTGCTACAGAATTGGGTCGTCTCAATTGTCCGTAGATAACATGGTGTTTAACGATTGATTGATCGCTTACAACAGACCCGTACGGCCCGTATTAGCTACTGTACTGTGTGATTGAATATTTAAGAAAAAATCTTTTAGTTATGATATCACACCGTATGTTTACATCTTTGTTACTTGTGATCCTCACAAAAATGTAATGTTTGATTTTTTTGTTTCTGTGTACCTACCTATAGAAACAGATTTAAATAATATCACCAAATCGAAAATGGTTTTTGACTTTTAGAGAAGGTTACAAGGTATTTCAAATACTTACTTATAATAACCGTCAACAAAATCACATCCCGTACCTATATTATCTATCTATATCTATACATATAATAAAATTGTAGAAAAGTGCTGTCTGTACATCTATCTATACATATAATAAAATTGTAGAAAAGTGCTGTCTGTACATTGAAAATAAAAATAAAAAATATAGCAGGGGTTATTGTTATGTCGATGTCGAACCCAAAAATGTAATTAACTTTTCTTTTGTCTGTTTGTCTGTTTGTCTGTTCACGCTAATCTCAGAAACGGCTGATCCAAGTTGGATGCGGTTTTCACGAATATATTGTGGTATGCTTCAGTTATGCTTTAGTGTTTGTTTCATGTCAATCGGTTCATAAATAAAAAAGTTATGTCAAATTAAAGAATCACGTCGAACACTATTCTATGCTTATACATACATAGGCACCATTAATCTCCGCAACTATTTGACGGATTTGCTTGAAATTTTGTACCGACATATTTTAGAGCCTGGCACAACATAAAGACTACTTTTTACCGCGGGAAAACATCCGTTTCCCATGGGAATCGGTAGTTTATTGTTTTTTTAATCCAAAATAAAAATAAATATATATTTAAAAAAAAACGCTGCTCATAGTCACTATTCCACGCGAACGAAGTCGCGGGCACAACTAGTTTCTAAATAAAGTAGACAGTGCCAGCACAACTGTCCACATCACATTTTGAAAAATAAAATATCAGGTGTTTTTCCTTTTTATGACATCTCTAAACTGTTGTTACTTTCACACACAGGTCTGGTTCAAGAATCGTCGTGCGAAATGGCGCAAGCAGAAACGTGAGGAGCAGGAACGGCTTCGTAAGCTGCAAGAGGAGCGAGCTTGTGGTCGGACGCCACTGATGGCGCGGCCACCGCTGTCACCAGCACACTCACCAGCGCTCGCGCCGCCAGCGCCTCCCACGCCACGCCCCTACACCGATGACAGCGACTCCGACCTAGAAGTCGCCTAAACACTAAAGCTTCCAATCACCCAAATCATAGGAATGGCGTATCAAACAGACTCATGAACTAATAAGTACTGTTCACAAGACAAGTGTTTAAAGGTGCCATCTCAAGTGCTATCGTTACTCATAAACTTTGCGCGAGGACTAAAGTGAACTATGGTGTTGTGAAACTACTTACTTTGACTGGTAGATATCGGAAATGTGAATTATACTTTATTCAACTTACTTTCCTATGCGTAGGAAGCGAGTTCATAAATTATCGTGTAATAATAATATAATGTATAATGTTAGAGGCATAATATATATTATGTATGTATGTAATGTAGATAATATCCGCGCTTATTGATATTTTCTTCAACGGAACTTTTATTTTTCATTAAGTAGAAACATCTCCTTATATAACTAAAGGTAGACAAATGTGCATATAAATATACGTAGATATTCTTATTTACAATTCCATTGTAAGTACTTCTTTGGCAATATTCCTAATAGGACCCAATTAGAAAATCTAAAATCTTCAAAGCAGAGATAAAGATATTCCGCTTATTAAAAATTGATGAAATTCATGAAATAACTAGATAAATGTACTAAGTATATAGCCAGTTGTATAACTATCTACTCTTAAAAAATCGAACTAATAAAAGTACGCCATAATTATCATGTGTAATTAATATTAAGATTGCCTGTTACCTACCTAGTTCACATTATTAGAACAAAATCCAAGATTTTATTTAGGTATAAATAAGTTTTTTAAACCTTCCTTTGGGAGGACAAAGTAAATGATGCATATTTAAAATACAACGCGGCGTTAAATACATAACATGATAATGTAATCGTCATTCGTAAAGTTCAAAATATAACTGAATTATAAGTAGATAATTGTAAAACAAAGTTGGTCGCCACTATCGATACAGAACTTATTTATAGATTAACTAAAAAATCTAGCGTGTTACCTACTTATGTATTCTAATAATGTGAACTAGGCACATTTAGAATCATTTTTGAATTGTATATAACAACCATCATTCCGAGAAACATCGGACAAGGATTTGCTTTAATATATCTTCCGGGTGGCTTTTAGATGTCCATCTTCTAATATGATGATTTATTGTATGTATAATACTATTATTTGGAAATTGGATAAGAACATAAATAGATACCTATTTATGTGTTGTCATATGTTAACGTTTTGCTTCGTGATTGCTGCTGCGGTTTACTGCAATAGTAGATACGTAATTAATATATGGTTTATCTAGATGAAAGTAATGGAATCCGTAATTACATAATATACCTAATCGCACATGGCTTTTTTTATCATTTTCCTATTTCATAATATAAAAGTTGACCCACGTAAGTATCTAGCCTACCAGGCGATACCTATATCGTTAGATAAAATTTAGGAAGAGGTTACCTACATTACAACGTAACTAATTAATGAAAAATGAGTTAAAAAAAGTAAAATAATAATATGTCCTATCATGAGATGCAAATGGAGAAATTGATCATAACATGTCCCTTTTGTCACAACTTTTATCCCCGAAGGGGTAGGCAGAGGTGCACATTATGCCACTGTACAATGTACCTAACACCCACATTTTCACTATTTATGTTATATGTCCCATGTAATAGGGGGTGAGCCTATTGCCATATACCGGGCACAATTCCAAACTCCATGCTACTACTGAGAATTTTTGAAATTCATCATGGTTGTAATTTGTGAATAGTCACTGTTCCTTACTAACATGTTTATTTCTCGTTTTAATTAGGTATATACTATATAGCCTTTCCATTCCACTAATTACAATACATTTTAATTGATAACACACACGCATTTTCCTTAACAGACGACAAATATTATTGAAGCTCCCAAAGGTGGATTAGTTAGCATTGTGTTGTCAAAGGATGGGGTGTTGCACCTGAATACTAATCAGGCCGAGAACTGATGTAAGTGTGGCCTTGTAATGCCACCTTATTGTGTCACTGACTATGTCATCCCGATTAATACCTAGAATACCATACATAATACATGTTGTGCGCAGCACATGTGTGGTCGGGGATTTGATCTTATTTTGCACATTAGCTCACATGGTGCATAAAATAATTTTAAATAGAACACGTGGGTACCCAGATAAAATTCGAAGGAACATCAGATTTTTTTTAAGGGGGTAATGTCATCAAATTACTGCTCCCGCCTGGGTGAGACGGGAGGGAGTGTCAGATTCTTACTGACTAAAAACCAACCGTTAAGGAACATCAGAATAGTAACGCGTTTTATATGTGCAATCGTTTACTTTGTGAAATAACACATGACTTACACCTAATGTGATCACTAAGGAGTAGAAAAAGGCATTTTCTATATAGCACCACTCTTTGTCAATGGTATGGGAATGGTAATGGTATTTAGTAATAACTATATAGTAATAAGTAAGGCAGCGGGATAGAAAAACACTACCAATGTTCACCCTCTTCTGTAAGTAGGTACAACTACCTGCTTACTTCTAACTTAGAAGTAACTTAGTTAATAATTCACGAGGGCAAGCGGAGCGGTCTTCGGCCCATATCGACTGGATTAGTTCAAAGTTCAAACTTCCATGTTTATTTTCAATTAAGTATTTTGTGTTCAAATCCAACATTGATTCCTTTTGTCTTTGAAGTAATGTGATTATTTATTAACGAATTATAAGTACAAAGTACCTAAGTAGACTTCATGTTGTAAGTAAGATTCAGGAATCCCTTTTTCGGCAATTTAAAACGAACCAAAAATACTACTCATAGAACCTGTAATAGAATGCACAGTTTATTTTTTAGCTACGTAGTGTAGAATAAAATTCTCATTTGATATTTTTTAGTATGGAAGAATGGTCAAATATTCAAAGTTATTACTCAGTTAAAAGTTATCTGACGTTAGGAAAATCGGCCCTAAGTATTAAAAATGATATATCTATGAGCGTCATAGAAGGAACCAGCTAGTCTATTCTGTAACTGTCAATTCGAACTTTCGAAGTGAGCTCGATCGCATTCTCGCCCGGCATTGGTTGATATTATTCTCAGAACCAATGACATGGCGGATTACGATCGAGTTCGCTTCGACCTTTCGAATTGAAACTTGCAGAATAGCCTTTTTTTAAGGGGGGAAAATCATCGAATGACTGCTCCCGCCTGGGTGAGGCGGAAGGGAGTGTCAGACTCTTACTGACTAAAAACCACCCCGTTCCTTCTGCTGCACGTCGAGTCGGAGCCCCGGTTACCCGTTAGGTTCTTGCAGAATAGCCTAGCAGGTATAAAAGGCATACCTCCTTACTTACATTATTGTAAGCATGAAGCTCACTGTGTTAAAAATAATGATAAGCTCACAAGCTCACAACGTGACTAATATATCTTCAAGTAGGTAGGTACAGATTTACATTATCTAGGTACATACAAGTAGTTACCAAGGAATATAAAACAGGTAGTAGGTTCATTACATATTTAATTGTTATGCGAAACATGTATATCCTTATTCATTCATAGTTTAGAATACGTGTTATTGAGACCATAACTCATCGCCATATATGTAAGTAGGGCCACGAGTACCTACATACTATCTATTGGTACTAGGTACGTAGTGTATATCTTACCTAATTAACTATTATGTTTCAATGTTTATTATATCACGAAGGTTCCCAATGCGTTAAATAGAATTGTTCGAAAAAGTATTTTAACTTATTTACCTATTACTTTTATGTAACTTAACTTTTAGTAATACCTATTTTACACATAATTTCCTACGCCTTTGGCAATAAACGGTACCTAAATGGCATGGTAGGTATACTTGTTTATCATAGCTGAAGGAAAAATATAGACAAATAGGCTAAGCTAAGGACAGAATGGTATCCAAGTGACAGTAAAAGAAATAGAGATAGACAAACGAAAAGAGGGTAAGATGATTTCAGGAAAATAGATGGTCCATTATGGACCCGTTTAGCTAGAGACAGGGATACGTGGAAATCTTTAGAGGAGGGCTTTGTCGACAGACAAGCTGTTCCACAGAAACACCTAGTTGTCGTAAGTTACAAAGCAAGTTAGTTATAAAAAATAACATAACATAACATCACGCCTTTTATCCCCGAAGGGGTAGGCAGAGGTGCACATTATGCCACTGTACAATGCAACACCCACTTTTCACTATTTATGTTATGAGTCCCATGTAATAGGGGGTGAGCCTATTGCCATATACCGGGCACAATTCCAGACTCCGTGCTACTACTGAGAATTTTGTAAAACCCAGTAATACTTTGCCCGACCCGGGAATCGAACCCGAGACCCCTTGCCCGGCAGTCGCACTTGCGATCACTCGGCCAACGAGCAGTTGTAAAAAATAATTTATTAGAAAGTAGGCATATTAAGTAAGAATATTAATAAGAAATAGCAATAAAGGCTATTTTATTTTTATTTATTTTATCTAATGTGAGTACCTAATGTTATTGGTAGGTAAACTATTATTTTGAGGAATGTTTTGATTTCTTAGCAAAACTTTTGAATTAACTTATGTAGATAACTTTTGAAGGCCGCACTAGGCTGTTACAAAAAACAGTACCTATGAATAATAGAGTATAGATACTTAAAAAAACAATAATCAAAATAGATACGTTTATTGACAACAATATCTCAAATTAACATAAAAAACATATCACACTTTAAACCTAAACAAAAAAAAATTGCGTTGCATTAAAATACTGATTAGGTAAGTACAAAGAACCTTAAAATAGTGAATTAAGGTTTGGTTTTCAATGTATATTGGTGGGGTATATATAAGTTTCATTTTGCCCTAATAGTACGCTAGTGGGTAGCTATAGGCGTACGCGTAAGGGTAGTACGAGTACGCAACCGGGAACTGTACGCGTAGCCTGGGTAGTAGCCGTAGTCCACCAGCACCTGAGGTTTCGCCACTGCAGGGCTCACCATCAGCGCCATGGCGAAGGCGATCAGCATCAACTACGGAGCAAAAACATTTAATTAAATAAGTC